GTCTACCAGGTTTATTTACAAAGTTGCCTTCTAGGAGCCAAGGATAGTTTCTTGGGATAAAAAAAAAAAATCTGAATTTAAATATATTTAACACAATTACTTTATATCCAGACTAGTGGTGTCAGGTAATGTGAAAAAAATAACCTAGCCATGAGAATGATCCAGGCTAATGTGTGTTTTGAAAATCACATAACAAAACCAATAACAATTTGGAATAAAGTGAGATTACATGTGGATCAGACCACCGATCCAATACAATGTACGATGCGATAATTATGTCGTCTTACAGGCCACGGTGCAAAATGCCAAGGTCTCTATGCTTATATCTGAGATCACACCAACCGTCCCCAATACACAGGCCAATCATAACATAGTTATGAAATGAAAAACACAATATTGTTTTATGATCTACAAGAAGCAAATTACTGAATTGATACAGCTTGGCGTGCAAAAAATGTACAGTATTACAGTATGGACTTTCAAACCAAGGGGAAAACAAGTGGAGAGGGATTCCTGCAAAATCCCCAGGTCTCCGATGAATCAGTAATAGCAACATCCTGTGCCGTACTCCGCTGGGCTGATTTTCCAGTTTTTAAAACAGAAAAGCATTTCAAAGTTGTACTTGTCGCTATGGTATACTGTAGATAGTCACAGATCTTGTAGTAATTTTTCACCAATTGCCAAGTTCAAGGGTGAATTAGTTAAGTTAATATAGTTCTATATTAAATTTAATACATTCTGAACTAAATTTAAATTCCATTGGTCAGTCGCATTGCCAATAAAACTTTCAAAAACCTAAATACTTTTGAAAAAGAAAACAACAGAAACAAGATAATTTATTTTTAGGGCACTAATGGAAAATAGTGATATACGGTAAACAAGCCATTATTGCCTGCAAAAACTTGACTATAAGGCAATTTTTTAAAAAGAAATAACATAGGTCAAACAAGAGTAATATTCAATAAATTAATGACAATATATTATTATTATTATTATTATTATTATTATTATTATTATTATATTATATTATTATTATTCTTATTAATAAACAATTTAATAACATTTTACAGATGAACATGCAGTACTGTCACTGAATATATTCGACTGCTCTCTTCCAGGCACCATATATTAGGACTAGACTTGTTAATCCACAGAATCACAATAAATATTGTCAACATCACAATGTATCTTATTATTATCATGATGATCCAACTGAGTTACAGAGTAAAAATACAATTGTTGTGACTATTTTAAGTCCAAGGTCAGCAAGTCACATGACTAAATGCTGTCTACTCCTCTGAATTAAAAAAATACAGCATATGTCTATGGTATACCACACTATAGGGTACAAAACAACTGTGTTGCTAAAGCTTAAATGACCCGAAATCAAATCTATGCAAAGTATAGGAATAGTGTTTTTGTGTTTATTAACTACTGTATTGCAACAAACGGAAATAATTAAAATAATTTTTTTCAAGTACACATTCTTTAATAATAGACAGGTACATAATAATTTTCCAGTTCATTAAAACAACCATGTTCCTGAATGCTTTACTCATATTTACAAAATAGCTGTTAAAATGTAGGCTTTTAGATATTCTAAATTTTACTTGAGGTAAGTCATTTGTTTAACTGTACAGTATGCAAGGAAATTAATCAACAAACCACCAACAGTTTCCTATCCATTAAGCTTATAAAAAAATATGGGGCATTTCTCTCAGTATAATACTGTTACTCATTGCAGTCGTTACAAAGTAACTAAGTATCTTAGTGCCCCAGGGTATGAACAAATATAGATAACAACAATGATGAATAAAGGTTGCCTCAAATGGGCTTTGCCTCAGACTCCCACCTAAACCTTTGCCACTCAACCTTACTGCGGTCCCCATTCGCACATCACTGGGAGCCATGCACAGCTTCAGAGCCTAGTGCTGCTTTCAGCAGACCTAAATTATTTTAATAAGAAAGAACAGGCTGCATATTACTTTACTTGAACTAAGGCAATATAGGAAGTAGTTTGATATTTTAAGTTTTCGTTGATGTTGTCATTTCAGGGCCAGTGAGTCAGATAATGAAGATCTTCCTTGATGTGAGGAATGTAATCTAATTTTTGTTGTGACAATTCCAAAATAAAACAATGTTATCAAATCTACTGGGAATATAATAACTTTATGAGTTGCTCGTTATTTAAAGAGTGTTAATTAATAAAAGATAAGACAACATGCATGGAAAAGGTCATGAAATATCCCTGCTGCTGACTTATCATCATGACTCTGTACATATATTTTAGTACAAGGTTAAATTACCAAAAAAAAAAAATGCATTCTAATGATGAGGATGAAACCAAACATACACATCAGATCTAGGAACAAATGGATATCATTCCCTACAAGGATGTTTACATTTTGGCTGGTTTTTCTTGGTGTTTTAGGTTGTAAAAGTAAAAAGAAAGGAGATACTGTACACAAAACGAATGCTGAAGTGAACAAGAAAAATTTTAATAAACCTTAACTTTCAAGCTATTGTTAATTACAACGATTAACTTCATCTACCATTTTATCTGCTTAAATATGTAATGAGTTTATGAGTCCTTTCCAAGTAGGCGGAGGGGATGCACAGCACTCAAAAAAATCTACAGTAGGCACTCCCCACTGGAAATTTCCTAAGTGAGAAAATGACGCTTTAGTTAAATCACATAATATCACCTTATGTTGCCACTGAGCTCTTCTAGTTAACCTTTATGATCCCCATCAATATTCTTAGATATGCCATTGGTCCTATCTTAAGTAGAGCATGAATCCAGGGATGTTTCTAGACTGTTTGAAAAAAAAGAAAGATACCACATGCAAAATTGTACATTCTAATTTGGATGCAGTTGTTACTCTTATTGGTGATATAACTCGCTTCAAAATTGAAGTTTCCGAATCTGCTTAATGTTTGGTAGTATCCGACAATGACCTACAGTAATGCAACACAGTAGACATGGAAGAGCTTAGCTTCAACAATTGGTGGAATGAAACAGAGCTGAAGGGCCTAGATGCATGCAGCATTTATCATTTCCTATATACAGTACCAAATTTTTCTACATTAACTACAAAACAAATCACAATTTGCGTGCAGAAATTCAACCAGTTAGAAGCTTGTCAACTTGTTTTTAGATCCCAACAAAAACAGCAGATATGAATGGCGACAAAGTGAGGCGCCACAGAATGACACTTCAGGTGGTAAGAAGGGCGGTACAAAATTACCTCAAAAGACATATTTTCTCTGGTTATTGTACATCCTAATATAAAAATCTATGAAACAATAAATAGAATGCATTGTACTGAAAGACAGGGTGTCTGTCCAAGGGTTCAGCACTTTGTTAACAAGATAATTTCAAAGCGCCGCGGCTGATGAAACCCTTTGTCTGCCAGTAACAAATATCCATTTGAACTCGGTGTAGAGCTTTAGAGCATGCCAGAATAGCGCCATATGACCATGGAGTAACAGATGATAGAGACAAACGTCTATCCACAACTATGCCTGATTAAGAACAATTGCATTATACAACACAACCCAGGTTATTAAATAATAATCTTATCCCTTCAGCTTGTAATAACCACCGGAGGATGTCACATACTGAGGCACTGTGCAAACAGTATTTGACATAGAAATTTCCAGATATTTTTCATCCAATGGATTAAAATAGAACATCCTGAATACCATCCGTGTGACCTAACCATAATCTTGATACGTGTGTTGACCATTATTATGCGTGACAATGATATAAAATTGAGGGATTAGTTCTTTAATGACCTTGTTTGCTGCAAAGAGCTATCAACAATGACAAAAATTAGAGGCATTATAAAAACACGAACTTGTGACCATATGCTGAGTCCCATCAGTACGCTGCCTTGACAATCATAGTCATCGTGCGTGTCTCTACTGTAGGGCAACGGAAGATTACTGCTCAAATAATGACCCGTGACACATACCGTATTCTGATTGCATATGAAAGTGGTTAATTGGACAAAAAAGCTACTGCCTTGATGAGCAATTTAGTTTGAGGTTTGCTAAACACTTGAATTGTTAACTGTCCATTTGATACCCAGACATTATCTGCTGCATAATGTTTTCTGCATAAACTTACTATATGACACTTTTTGTAGGTCTTCATTTGTAAAATGCTTAATCTTTTAATTGTTTCAAGGCAAAGATTCAAGAGAATTTTTTGGTTTGGTTAAAGTAAAGTGCAGTTATATTAATATTATTGTTATAATCTTATTAATTATTTTCATTACTTCCTTATTTGAGGATGATTAACGGTGTATCATTCAATGATCTGTGGCCTCTCTGCATGAATCTATCATTTAAACACACACACACACACTAAAATCTATCATTAAACAAACCAGACTGTTGAAAATGAGTGATTACAAGAATTTTGATGTACTGTACCACTTAACAGATATACTGATTATTTCTTTTGTTTTTAATGTGAAGTAGATGAAGTGCAGGAGTTTTATAATTTATATGAATAGTACGATGAATAAATGAATGGAAGAATAAATAAATAAATATTAGGAAGCAATTTCTTAAGACCCTTAAATTTGCTTTATGTTTTCTTTGCCAGACACAATAACCTAGTAATTCATTTTTATTTATACCATCTTTATATAAACTTGAACTAAACATTGTATAACAACCAGTAATAATATTAAACAAGCAGTAATACTAGTATATGTTTAATATTGCAATATACTGGGGTTGCTTTGTGCTTTACAAAAAAAAAAGAGATATTAATCCATTTCCCTGTTTAAATCCAAACATCCTCAACTGTCCTTGATGCTACACATACAGTGGGCTAATACTGTTCTGTATGCACTGACCATTTAGAATGTACTGTACTTGATTCAATATAGAGTATAAGGGTCACTTAAGTATAAATACTGTACTTAATACTGTAGTAATTTAGTAGACAAGTGCTATAACTGTATGTAACATGCAATTTACTATACCTTTTGAATCTCTTGGAGTTCAATGGGTTAAGTTTTTTCAAGCGTCCTTTACCCGGTGTTGTTTTTGGCGTTGACAAATCTAGAAACTTCTCACTTTTCACAGGAGTAGCGTTGAAACCGCAGAAGCTTTCGTCTGCAAATTTCAGAGATGGTGAACTGAATTTGAACACGGTCTGGCCATCGTGAGTTAAATCTATTGAGAAAAAAGATGGAAAAATAAATAAAGGGAGTTAAAAATAAAATCCCCTTTGTGCTATTTTTTGTTCTGTATGTAAATGAAAACAATAGAAATTGTAAAAAAAAAATAATTGTATTACTCAATTCCTGTTCTTGCAGTGAATTACAATGCTAAAAAAACACACCAAGAAATATGGTTCCAATTCCCCTTATACATTAATATTTCTGGGCTGTCTCCTATTTTTAGTTGGACTAGAAAAATTCAAACATTCCTAAAAGCAATTTGCCTACAGTATGTGTGCCTAATAAGAATGACATATGCCTATTGTACAAGTGTGTTGTAAGTGTAAATTACCTATCCACACACTTTCTGTTTAACAATCCATCATTTTAGTTCAAGTTAAAACTTCTTTGTTGTAATTTTTAAGTGTTTTTAAAACACAACTGGTGACTCATATATGGATAGAAACTTTTCTTTTATCTACACTCCATCTGGAAAAGATATTACCCAATAGTCCGGTTTAGATCCTTTTCAGGATAATATAATAATTGTAGTGCTCAGCATCTAAAAATAATAACTGGATTGATATGTTTTTTGGGTCAATTTTTGGTTTCAATGATGAAAAGCAATATTGTCTGCTTATAATTCAAATTTCAGAGACTTAAAGAGTCAGGAACATCTGTGTTTACATTACTACAGTATACCTCAATGCTCACTACTGATTTTCTACTGTAGTGAATTACAGTTTGAAAAAACACTGACATTTTTATTGCTGTATTTCATTTATTCCAAGTTTATAAATTGAAAGACTTTAATACTTTGGATTGGATTACAACAGATTTTTTCACACCAAAGGAAAACCCACGAAACTCTGTAGACTCATACCCAGTGCGCTCCACCTGGAGGTGAAATGGGCAGAAGGCTACCCTCTACTCTTTCCTGAATAAAGATACCAATGATACCTTGGATTCACTGGGCCTTTCCACTAAACCCCACCCTTGAATACAGTTCTAAAGACATAGGAGACTATACAGAATGAATGTATGTATACACTTAAGGATTTATGGGACATGCCAGTGTTCCTGGCTATTAAATAACATGTTCTGATTAGTTTGACTAACACTGACAAGTTTGATTACGTAGTTTTCGCCGCATGACGTTAACCTTAACTTAAACTGATGGAATAATAATTTATTCATTTTGCATTGCGGAATACGTTAATTTCCGGATTTTATGTGCTCGGACGAACGTTTGTTACGGCTTTGCGCATGCATATTTCGATTTGTTTACAAAAGGGACGGAGCTATTGTGTTGCATGTTGCGTACTAACGTTAAAGTTAAGGTTTAATATCGTGCCTATGACAAAAAAAGACCATTATAAATTATTTTAAGACAAATTCATCATTAGTCAAAAATTACCCAGCAATTATCCTATCTTAATATTAATTTCAGACCTGGCTTTCCATCATGTTTGCACAATTTTCAGACCTGTGTTTATCCTGGAGCTAATGAGTAGATCCTAATTGATGATAAAAATTCAGTACATTCTTGTGCCCTTAATCATGTATTATCACAGCATTACCATAACAATACCAGTATTTTGTTAGTAGAATTTGGCACATAGTTGAGCGTTGAACAACTGTCTACAATATCAGTAATATATATCCATTAAAAAAAAAAAGGTTTCTTGTCATTTCTCAATCCTTTGTTGGCTTGCCTACTGATTTTTCAATAAATGTGCAAGTCAAAGCACCTATACAATCCTGTAAGAAATATAATATCCTCTTGAGCATCCAGGGTAGAGCAGTTCACCAATGTGGATGAAAGTGCTCTAATGTATAGTGGAATTGTGTACCAAACTTCAAGAATCTTTTCTTGGAAAAAAAAAAATATACCTCTACAGCACAGTATATACAGGTATTTACAAGTCATGGGAAAATATTCCCTGAAAATATTGGCAGTTAAAATGGCTCCAAATGACAATTTATTAAGTAAAAATGGCCCTCCTTGCTAGACTATTAGTAATAAATTTATTTTCCACTCACAAATTTAACAAGTAAATAACATTAAATTATTCGTCAACCTGCTTTATTTTTTACTGGGGTTATTTTTGCAGGGCATTTTTACAAGCCATTTTTCCAAGAATCTCTTTTGCTTTCCATACAACATTGCAGCCACTTCTGTCGAAGATAAACGGAAGAGAGGTGGTGGAGGACTTCATATAAAGTACTCAAATGAGAAGCATGTTTATATCGTTCACAGGTATGTAGGAATTTTTATTCTGGTTGAACTGATTGCAGGAAAAGTAATGCATTGATTAACTCAAAGTTTTCATTTCAACAAACATATACAAATAAAATAGATGGCATTTCTACAAAACATGTTTAGGGCTGATCTTTTATTTACTGACCAGTTATGCGAAGAAAATCTGTAGTCACGAATATGAACAATTGAATTTGTGTGTGAGCTAAAGTGTTATGAAAACCTATGGAATGGTTGAATGCACAAAGCCGATGAGCAATAATATTATGACAAATTAAGAAAAATTAATTAACCTAAAGCTGAAATAAGAACCTGATATTATTGAAAAACAGGAATACAGACCTTGCATTAGTCGAATAATAATATAATAAAAACAGTGGCCTTCTTAACGTATTTGTTTGGTTTAGAACCCTGGTTTTAATTTTTCTTAACTATCAGTTGTATGTTCCCAGTAGTAAAATAGAGAGAGTTTCAATGGCAATGACAACATGAATCTAGGATGGTCACACTTCCATGACCATCTTATGTTTTCCGTACATTGTAGATTCGACCTAAACCACATCCTAAAATTCAGATGACAACAGTACATGATGGTGTTACAAACTAGATCTTACAATTGTCGTGAAATTAAGAGCTACCTACAGCATGTGCTTGCAAAGATAAAATCCAACAAGGTCCGAAACTAAGCCAACGACAAATGTGGCGAAAGAATCAGTTCCAGTGTATACATCTGGCTCGTGCACACTTTAAAGAACCCATTGCATCTTTCGGAAGAGTAAGGGGTTACCCCGATGTTATGGTTCATTTTAGCCCATTGTCGTTGTGGAATGATGTGAACATATAGCTACCATGAAGCGCCTCTTTACGGCTGCTAAGTAATCACGGACCACGTCCATACGCAATTCAGCACAATGATGCTGCAAGTTATGGGTTATTCTAATACCTTTACCGTACCTTTTTCCCATGAAACATTGCAGAAACATCAATTTGAAATGCACTTGCTCAATGTTGAGTAGAACTGAAACATTGTGTAATTTCAAGACCAATGTGCATTTTGATATGCTACAGTACACTTTTTTTTCTTCTACAAGAACACATTTTTATAAGAACACTGAGGCTGAAATTGCTTAAAAATTAAGAACAAATTGAGGCTGAGGTAAAATGTCGAATGAGATTTCTATTTAAAATAACCAAAACTTTACCTTACCTTATGTGCATCATGATAAACATGGGCTTCACTAAATTATCACATGACCATGTGAAACTGCTTAAAATCACTGTAACTATTATTTAAATGCATAATACACAAGAAAATTGTGTATTTTGATTAAAATATTTTAAATAAATAATTTTACCAATATCAGAATAGGTTGTACATAGCAGTAAGTCACAGTGCACATCTTGAAATTTACAGTACATCTCTGAAAGCTCAGTTTAATGATAAAAGAACATTTCGTAACGTTTCATAAAGTGTTGCAGGTTTCAGATTTTTACATTCCCAATAAATTTGATCTTTGAAATTCAGAATTATTGATAACTCCTCAAATTTGATTGGACGATTTACGCTGACAACTTCTTTAGGCCTAATACGATTTGATATTTGAAAAACGATGTTGAATACCTATTAGCCTATTACAAATAAATCACAATAATGCCAGGCTATGGACAACTTACTTCCTTTCTTCCACACTCTTTTCCTTTTTTCTTTTCATCAAAAGCATTCTCAACAACTGAAATTTTCATCGGTCTACTTTTTTTTCCCTTTTAACCTTGCCCACAAACTGTTGGAAATTCATCTTATAACTGTATATATTTCATGTTTTTTGTTTGTTTTTTTTTTCAATTGTGTATCTATGAATGTTATTCTAAGCAAATATTAGCCCTTGATGACATTTGAAGCATAATTGATTTGAATTGAACTTCTTAAATCCATTAACGTATGATTGCTAAACAATGGTGTACCTACATGTATGGTGGGAAGAGGTTTTCTGAGAAACAACGGGTGAAACAAGTAATTAGATTTAAAAAACAGGATTGAGGGTACTAATAATTGTGGGTAAAAAAACCCATGATAGATAATGAAACATTTGTAGGTAAGCACACTAAGGTCATTGTTAAGGAATACTTTCTTTGTACCCATGATGAATAAAGTACGGTACAGTTAACAATTATAAAGTGAATACACAGGAAACTGGAGATCTAATGGACATATCTACATTAATTTAACGTTTCTAAGTGCACGGGAAGCACTGCCCAATTTTTGAAAATAGTTCTGGTAGATTTAGGAAAATCAGAAATGATTTTTAAATATATAAAGTAAACTTTGATTGACAATGCCTGAGCCTCATTGAAGCAATAAGCAATTAATTAACAAGACAGTAAACTACAGATGCAGAGTATCACTGGCAAACCACAAGATCTGTCTCTGTGGTAAAATTTGTCACACCAGGCGGACAGTGGTTTAGTACTGCAGTGTTAATTAGTGCAAAAGCATTTGATATAAGATGTTGACACCAAACACACAAATGTAAACAAAATATGATTTACAGTTAGTAAGAACAATACAGTATTGTTAACCAGTTTTATAATGAATGCATCATAAATATTCATATAATATCATCTGAATGCAAAACAAAGGTTTGTAACTCATCTTTTCAAAAGGTATGATAGTTCCTTTGGTATACTTTTAATTTGCTTATTGTAACATTGTATATTGTCAACACTTTTATCTGCTAGGCAGGGATGTAGTTATT